ATATGTCAATTCCCCATTGAATAATCTGAATTTAGAATCGTTGCATTCGACTTTAATTGTGACTTTGAACTATTTCACCGCAACTCGTCAAGCAAATTTTTTTTCAAATGTACCTCTGGTGCCAGTCGAAGGTTTGTATAATACATCGCGTTGTGTGTATGGTTTAGCCAAATCAAGTGAAAATCAGCGAAATAGAAATGGCAATTCATCAAGATGGAACACTGCCAAACCTGTTAGAGTCTAGCAGGGCTTTGTAAAAATACATGGTATAAACAAAGTGATCTGACAGCTAACGCCTCCTTTCTATAATTCCGTATGTCTGCGGGCGCTTAGCTTCAACCCTTTAACTCAACTCCTCCGGATTTTGGCTAGCCCAATGGCTTCACTATTCCAATTTATCTGCTACAACAAGCCTTCCAAGTTATACTTCTTTAAAGTTTCAGACCCTGGAGCAAGAAAGAGTCTCAGGCTTGACTGTCATTGAGTATGCTGTTTGACCGGTTCCCACTCCCACTCCACCAGTATCACTCCAGCTAAATTGCTGATGTTTTGTTGTTGTGTCGTCACGGCTGCACGTCTATAAGCTGTGCAAAATGCCCGCTTCCGAAGAACATTATTATATATATTATATATATTATAATATATTATATATTATTCACACTCTATAATGTTAAGAAGTGTTAAATTACTCGACGATCACTTTTGTTTACAAATTGGCTTGGTGTTTACGGGAAACCCAGCTAAAGATATACTGCTATACATCGCATGTCTTACCAAATGGAACATGAGGCGGCTTTAATGCAGCATATTCACCTGGAGAACATGACACAGGAGGAAATCTGCCGGGATTCCGTTGAGTTCCTAGTTGACGCGAACCCCCAAATGTGTAAAATTTGGTGCTCAAGTAAGGGATGGGGTTGACGGAAGGTCGGAGATGGACCGACCTGATGAGCCACAGCGGCACCGATTATGAGATTTCGAATAGTTTTCAATAGTTTTATGAGTCGAACGTTCCGTGGAAAGACATTATAATTAACGTCTTCAGGATCTCGTCGCCAAGTGCTTATAGACAGATGAAGCCCCGTTCTTGCTGAACGTACGATGATCTAATGCGCAGCTGAGTGACTGGGTCTAGCAACGCAGCGGGACAGATCCAAAATTCGCACGAAGCCCACCTACGAATGTTACGGCTTTTTCCAAGCAACACTTTTGGGTCAGTATTAGCAGCCGGCTGTCATTCCCACTTGAAGGGTACTGTTGTATTCACCAGCCCTCAGCACGCACCGAGTATACTCTGCCGTACAAAAGCAAGAGTAAGGATACACAGTCGCCTTTTGAGTGCGGATAGATAGTGGTTTTAGGGTTTGAGGACAAGCGTTGACTTTGTGATAAACCAAAAATATGGGGTCGTCGGGAACGTTCATTGAGCAACTAGGAGGCGCGATCGCTGAATTTGCATGACAGGTTTAAGTGTTTTAACAACGGTCCCTTGGGTTGACCTAAGAAACCCAGGGACGTGATTCTTGGTTATTAGCGCATCCAGACATACATTAGCTTTTGGTACGTTGATTCAGAGTGAGTATATCGTCAGGACATCTCCGTCTGTCTCGATTCGCTGAGGAGCGCATCCGAGTTCGTATACTTCCCCGTCCATGTTGATTCACAGCATAAAGATAGCTGCAAGTGACCCTTTGGTAACCTAGATAGATCAAAAACCAAGAAAGTTAACATGTCTGTCTCGCCTTTGAAATTGAAACGAGTGGCTTGGTTGAAAATTTATGGATGGACGGCATCCATAGAAATGCTGTCTAGGCTTCGCTGATAGAGATGCATATGCCTGGCTCCTTCAGTAAACGGATAGTATCACTCAAAAGATGGATCAGGCAGACATTCCACATCAACTCTATCGATTTATCGAATGTTATGCTAACCTGGGACTACGAAGTATGAAAGTAACCCCTTTCAGAAAACACTGGCTGTATCAACTTCGATGAATCAGTATCATCACATATTGGTGGTAAAATAGATCGTTCACACAGAGAGCGCATATGAACTCTGAATCGACATTTGGATATTTTATCGATTCGAAGAATTCAAAAGTATTACTAAGACTTTATGGGAACAAATTTTGACCAGGAACGATAAGGCAATTCAGTAAACTGAAGCTTGAAGACTGTAATATTATGTTCAATGATGATGCCACTTTATATGTCTAGTTAGTTTAATAGCGTACCATCATTTCATTACACTTCAAACGTTGAGCACGAATTCAAATGACCCCATTCATATGTATTTGAAAAACGATACTGTTCGAAAGTCGGTGTAGTTTTTCAGTCACCTAAATAGCGTAACACTTGAACTTATAGTAAACGCCCACAATACAGGTAAACAGGACTGAATTGTGTGAATGTCGCATGGTAGATAATTCTTAAAAGCCCTCCCCAAACTCTAACTACTGACCGCTGTTATTCAGTAGTGTCAACACAATACACACGTGGTGCTATCTACTAAGTGTATGCTATCTTCTATCAGCCGGACGATATAATATTCAGCTACCAATCGGAAAGTTCACGATAGCTCAGTGGCTGAGTCTCAAGCAGGGAACCTGCGGTCCGAACCCAACCACTGCAGCTCGAAAGCCGTGCAGTGCTAACCCCACTATGGTGCCTACATTCCCGAAGCTCCCGATAACTCAGTGGTTAAGACGCGAACGCACTGACCGGAAGATCCATGGTTCGAACCGAACCCCAGCATCTTAACTGCTTGGACAACCTGGCAGAAGCTGAATCTTGCTGTTTAACCTGCTTAGCATGGCAGATAGACACCAGAGGGAGTTACAGCTGTATGATTATTTTTCTCAAGGTGCAATACAGAGCTTGTTGTTCACAAATGAAGGCATTCTCACCACCGTCATAGTCTCAGTCGCCCGATTATGTCCAACCGGTTTCGTTCGCCTGACAGTCATTTTTAGCGTTCATTCATCCGCACCCATCCCCCGTGATTCGGACGGGTAATTCCGCATTTTTAAGGTGTTAGTGTGGTGATTGGTGCGACCAAGATTGGTAAAGATACACAGGTTGCAGTGAAGTTTTTCTGTCAAACACAACGAAGATAAGCTGATACTTATGTGGAATCATGATGTGCTGTGCCTGTGCTTGTTTCCACCCCTTGGTTGCACAAGCTTGAGGTGCAGTTGACTGTTGAGTGCCGCGCGACTCTAGAGCAATCTGCAGATGGATTGTACGAGGCACGGACTGAACGTCATACAAGAGGGAGGCTAACCGACCAAGCTGCCATGTCGTTTAAAACTAGTTGAGAAGTGGAAGATCTTGCTTAATACTCAAAATGTTGCAGCCAATCATAATTGCCGGTCATTAACCTTCCCATCGGCCTTTGCCATTTTATGGGAAGACTTCAACTTCAGCCAAACGGTCAGATCAATATTCCCCACTTTTCTGTAGACACTTTTACCACTCAGGAAAAATGGTACGACCCACCAAGCACTGACGTGCTCAGGGAGACTGTTTGAACGTTAATCTGCAGAGTTAAGCAGCTGAATGACTATGTACTCCTCAAGACGATCTGCTGTGGTCCGGTCACACCAGGAAGGCATGGACCCAGGGCCGATTATTCCAGTTCGGGTTACTACACGCTGCCCTAACTTATCGAGCATCTCTGTGAAGCGAACTGGAGCCTGTAGCATTGTAGGATTTGACCATGAATAAAAAGAAATCCTGAATAAGTTGCACTACTGCCTTGAGTGCTCCAATTGGATATTTTGATGCCGAACTTCAACTTTTCTTGGATATTCTGCCCCACTTCTTCCTCCATCATTTTTCTTTCACCAGGAACTGAACAAGCAGCACGGTGCTGTTCACCTGACACTTTCAAATGCGCAAAATTCGCGCGTATCGAGTCCCACATGCCGATCACCTGTTGTATCAGTTTTGCGGCCACACTTATTTGTGCGACACGGCTGACTGTGCAGTGCGTTCACGCGTGACGACTACAGGCTCGTCACACCAACTTACACTTGGTCTCATCTTGTATGTTCGCTTGAACGAGCAAGAAGTATGGACGCCACGGGGTTGACAGTAGTTTTCCTGGTCTACTACTCCCCACGGAAATGATTTACATCGCCAGAGCGCAACTATGGTACACGACAGAACACTCGGCCCGCATGTAAAGCAACGAGTGGACGCATCTTCTGAACTCTGTTACCACAGAATAAGTGCATCTCTATCGGACAGATTCTATTCTGGTTGCACCTCACTTGTTTTGCAATTGGCCTAGGTAGATAGCTATTCCACGCCACCATCCGAGACAGCTCGATTGGTCCCGAAGTTGTAAGCTGGCAGGGAAAACCGCAGTCAATTTGCCTGACTGACGTTGAATTGAAGCTCGATTGTCCCGAAGTTGTAAGCCGGCAGGGAAAACCGCAGTCAATTTGCATGACCCATGTTGAATTGAAACCCCTCACTAACACAGGGCGACGCTACAAACGACTATTCCTGAGTGAATATTGTTCGTTTGCTTCCAACTCTTGTGAGGGTAGCGTCACCATCGACGAATAAACACACTCAAACGGTCTTGAAGACGGCTGGCACAGGCTTATAATCGAATTCGGTCGCAGTTTTAGCCGTTCTAAGGCAATGATCTCCGAAATCTACCATTCAGAGGACCGGATAAAACGGCCAGCATCGAACATCGAAGAATGAATAACCTGACACACTGCTGACTAGCCTATCATGTATAAATAAAAAGAACAGTTTTTATGTGAGCTGTCATCCGTTTCCAGACTAGCCTGTCACATCGAATTGCATCGATGGACACCAGCGCACAGTGGTTGATGCGCCTTTGTTCGAGTCATTCCGAAGATCTCAATCTGATCATTCAATCCCTTCATTAGGAAAAGGATGTTAGGATAACAGAAAGTTGCCAGTCCAGAACAAAAAGTTCTTGGAACCATATTCCAGAAAGACAAGAAACGCCGGTGAGCCGTAAATTGATGAGTATTGTGCAAAAATGATTAGAGTAGACAAACAACAGCAGCATGGGAATAAAAGGGGACGAAAGCAATTTACACAAAAGATGTGTACGAAAATGTAATCTGATGTAGTGAGTAGAAAAAGGAACCGTGACTATTCGAACACCAACAAATAAGCGAAATGCAGAACATGAGTCCATCAGAAAGCAGGGTAAACAGATACTCTGACGCTGATGGACTAGGACAGGTGGATGATAAGCTGGAGTGTGTGGAAGTCGAAGAGCAAACATCAACCGGAAAACTTCCATATACACACCAAATTGTTATCAGTCACCGCGGCCAAGTACTGTCCATCATGGCTAATGTCCGTGGCGTTGACCACAGGGTTTTTAAACCCGGATGTGATGCTTTCTTTTATTTGCGTATCTTCCTCTTTCGCTCCTCCAATGCTGCACTCCGGCCACTCCAGTATCTAAAACAGACAGGCAAGTAATTGAGACCAAGAAGAATTGATAAGCTATTAGACTGCAACTAAAGGGACATAACTCATTCAGTCAGATTTTCAGACATTCTGGGCTAGCTCACTTCGACAGCCAGCCAAGGGAAATCAGAACCGCCGCAAACTTTGACAACCACTTTCGACTACTGTATGGTAGGTCAGTAGCCTAGTGACTCGAGTGATAGACGTGAAGTCAAGAGCTGGTACCGCTGCCTAGCAGTCACGTTAAAGTGGAATGATCAACAAACATACATGTACACACACCAGTACGTGTTACAAAATGTGACTGTAGCATAGCGGCTGTAGCTTAGTACTTCAAAGGGAATTGAGTCCAAAAACCAAACACATCAACGCCTTCAGAAGACTTGCCTTGATTGGTTTTGTTTTGAAGCGACGGGCATCCTCCTCTACCTGTTTCTGTAAGTCATACAGCCATATCGTCCCCTCGTTGTCACCACAAACGACTGTGTGCAAATTGCTACGAGCAGTGACGTTTATATAGATCTCCTCCGTAGTCTGCCAACGGAGTTGTCCTCGAATTTCCACATTAACAACCTTCTTCGATGAGGTCAAACGCTTCACCTTTTGGACGACCTGTGGCGAAGACGGCAGAGATAGTGATCGTAGACTGAGAAGCTAAACAAATATCAAATCGAAAAGCGTGATTCAAGATGAGACGATGGATAGCATAGTTACGACAATGACCAGGAATTCAATGCCTTGGCAACGAGCGACGTCACACAATACAATTCTAATGATAATTCTCGTTGGCACACTTTGAAGTTTGATTAAATCTTGATCCAGCCGACGCCCCGTGTTAACACGCCACTACACCACAAGGCACGTGCGTGGACAGAGTGGTCAGCACAAACTCCCACGTGTTTATCTGAAAAATTTGTCCTTCACTGCATAAGATAGAGCCAATGACCCGCGGAGTCTTCTCGTAATCCCTACTGGTCTACAAGAGAGAATCTGACCGAGAAATCCACAAGAAACGTAACGTCGAAATAGGGACTCACCTGATTGTAGTCAAACACATAAATTTCACCTTCTTCCACACATTTGACGACGACCAGATTTTCAGTGAGCTTCGCCAAACCGTCAAAACAAGGCTCGCGACGAGTCGGGATTTTAAGTTCGAGGTCCGGTTCCCTAACGAAGAGGGAGAAGCGTGAGGCGAAAGTTCATGTCGGTTGAAAGGATTGAAGATGGTATGAGAGAGTAAAACGCCTAACTATTACGATGTTACAGCATCCACAATCCTGGCCCTCATGCTACCAGTTGAGAAAAATCTTTAACCAGAGTGCATTATTATAAGCCCATCATCACAGTGTCCCCTGTATGCGGACGATGTTTGGTCCTGTGTGCAGACTACCATGTTTCGCCGGCAATCCACAACCTGTAGGAAAGGAAAGCGTTCAGCTGTAGCACCCTTCCGGTGCCTAGCTGCCATGCCACCCGAAGGAAGCACAAGGGCTGGGGTACTGCCAGGTTGCCCAAGCCTAGACAGGGGAAGTCGAGTGGAGGAGGTCGGATTCGAACCACGGACCTTCTGGTCAGTAAATTAGTGCTCTAACCACTTAGGCCATCTCGCCCAATCTTATTCACGAGGATGATGACTTACTGATAATCTTATTCACGAGGGTGATGACTTACTGGTAATCTTATTCACGAGGATGATGACTATCCACAACCTGTAATGTCCAACAAGCACCTAATTCAGGTTAATCAGCTGAAGGGTGTGCCAAAAGTAGCGCAACCTAATCTACGGCATGTGCATTACTAACAATGAGAAATAATGTCTCAGCTCTAGCACCCCTTCGGTGCCTAGTTGCCATGCCTTCCGAAGGAAGCACGAGGGCCTAGTTACTGCATTCCTACTACCTTCCGGTCGGTAGGTTCGCGCTTTCACAATCGAGCCACCTCGAGCTCACGTGCATTACTAACACTACCTAACACACCATCTGGTATTCCAACTGCAGTCACAAAGTATGGGATCTGGGCATCTCAGAGCGTGATATTCAGATTAGTCGATGTTCTTGCCACAGTTGAATAATTTCACCCACGTACTCAAACACCGAGTAATTATGTACAATCTATACATCGCGCCAATGGTGTTGGCATGCAAGAGGAATGCAACAGCTCTCAGAATAAAAAGGCCGTTACAACTACGCGTCTCAATATGCATAAACTTGTATTGGTAGCACGCTGGAATACAAGAATGACTGCCAATAAAAGCATACGTTCACTCATCACTATTAGGACGGTAATACAATGGACCCCTGACCAGTGACCGATGACGGACCAGCACAAGAGTTGCTGTAACCGGAGGGATGTCCGTGAAATGACATTAAGAAAGGTTTCATGCTACGATGGCTATCGGTTAAAGGTTTGGATAATGCAGTCTACGGATCCTACAGATTTCGGGCCGGGACATGCATGTTGACTCATTCCTATGGGGTGTGACGGTTTATCACCCCTGCCTTGCAGTTGAGCTCCAGAGAAAAGAAGCTTTGACTAAATACCGTGAGCGTCACCTGTTTATATTTGGGCGCTCTGACTTGGTATAAAATCATAAATTGCACAGTCATAGCATGAGAATTTTCGGAGGGGGAAATGTAGATTGCGAGGTGGGAATGTCCTCCAGGTTGCTGATACAAGAAACAGAAGAACTCGCCACGTACGGATCACTGTATGAACATGACGCGACAGAGGAGACTATGGGGCGGGATGCTGTATACGGGTCCCCTTATATTTAGCCACTACCGAGGCAAAAACTGTAAATCCAAGCCACTCACTTTTCTTCGTTATGTTTCTCACGCCGAAACTCCGGCAACGACCACATGAACACACCATCTTCACAGCCTGCGAGCAGTGCATCAAACTTTGGCAGGAAAATCAGATTTAGCACTGGGTTCAGATTGCGTCGTGGACAGGCCAAACGCATCAGTAGTTGATGACGAGTACGATATTCCGGAGCCGAAGGAATACCGATGTCCCAAACGAGAACCGACGCCTGAAAAACGGGTAGCAAAATAAAAAATCGGCAATTACGTGAGATAAAGCGTTAGCTGGATGATGGGGAAATTGTTTCAGAAGGGCTTGGTAAACAATCGGTAGTCTTGTTATTCGTCGGCCAATGAAAACCAGCCTGAAAATATGACGATTCCCTGTCTTTGACGGTGCTTTCATCCCACGTAACAGAAAATTGTTGGAATCACATGTCATTAAAGTCGGTCAAGTAGATCACGGAGGTCTGGCGATTGGCAGTGGACAAAAGTGTCTCATAATGTCACATGGACGAGATTAGGATTGAAGTAGGGGCTATTCGTTCGGCTGCGATTCAGCTGAGTCGCCCGTTACCTTAATCTGATTGTATGTCATAATTGCTTGCCTACGTATGGAATCAATATGGAACAGAAGTAGCATTTTTATACATGATCCAAAAAATACGATGATTGAATAGAACAATGCCAGATAATAATAATAATCGTCCAGCTGTAACACCCTTTCGGTGCCTAGCTGTCACCATGCCACCCGAAGCACGCACGAGGGCTGTGATACTGCCAGGTTGCCCAAGCCTAGACAGGGGAAGTCGAGAGGCAGAAGTCGGGTTCGAACGACGGACCTTCCGGTCAGTAAATTCGCTCTGACTCCTGAGCAATCTCGTCCCAGAACAATGCTAGAGAGAATAAGGTAATGATGATGCTATCGCTATCGAAGCTAAGAGGGTAGCAGAATAGGTAAAACAGCGTCCCTTCATTAACAAACCAATTTCGGGGACCCAAGACCGAGGAAAGGTGAAAACCAGGACCTGTATTGCTTGCTCTCTGCGCTGGTGCTAATGAAATGTGATTTGTATCCGGAAGTTTTTAAAAGCTTTCAGGGTGACTGGATGGGATACTCTAGTTTATCTCTAAAACGACTATCTCAGATATTCAGTGCTATTGCATACTTGTAAGTCATACATGTTGAACCCGTATGGTGATCACCGGTGAAACTAGGCCACTGGGCCAGCATCAGCATACGAAAACCATAACATGTGGTACAGTAGTGTTCGTCACTATATCACTTCTATGGCACTTGGATCGATTTTACCGAGCGCCATCTGGTTTAGTCGGCAATTTTCCCTTAGACTCGGAAAATCGGGAATTGGCCACCTCGATACGCAATCCGTACATCGAAGCATTGCCTACATTTGTAGAGACATCTCATCGGAAAATAGTTTTCTTTGATGGATTGCAAAGGAAAACGATGATGGCAAATTGGATGAAATATTGTCGCGAACTGTGTCGTTTCGAGTATCTCCGGTGTCCCATGGACCTAACCCGCCCTCAAAATGCTGGGATTATTGTTTCTATTCGGTTCAATCATGCTTAAGGATTGCGTATGTAAAACACTGCTAAACCGGTAACACCAATCCATGGTTTCCTATCAATCGGTTATCCATAGTTTTCGCAATATTCAAGAAATTGAAGCAATGGATGACCGCTTACGATATACTAAGAAGGATTAACGGTGTGCAGTAAAGGGAGGACTATGGGTTGAAAGTTACATTAAGGTACGCTGCACCCTATAATGACAGGCATCAAATAGTCTACCGGAAAATTCAATAAAGGCAAAAATTTAGTCCTGTTTCATGAGCACAAACCGACCGATGGGGTTTGTGCTGTCAGTTCCGATCCAAATGTTGTGAGTCAGTATCTGGAGGTGTAGTAACCTCTAGTGCTTGGTATAAGCTGACAAGAGGCTCCATTTCGATTCCGTTTTTGTCCAAGGTTTGGCTAAATGAGTATATGAGTTTGTACGGCATTTAAATGCCAGTGTACTACTGCCGTCGACGGCTGTGCCGGGACCGAAGAGGACGTGTTCTACGCGGTTGACAGTAAACACAAGGATAGGCTGATCAAGATCTACGCCTTGCCAACCTGCCGTAATGAAACATAACAGCTCACCTTGGAGTCGCCTGAAAACAGGATGGTCGGTTTTTCCGGATGAAATATCATACAGGCGATATCATCTTTGTGACCACGCATTTCCGCATAGCAGACCAACTGCTCAGGGTGTAGGAGGCGAATTTCCCGTAGTTTTCCAGCAGCGGCCAACAAATTGGTCTTGTGTCCAGCAGCCATTTCTACCGTCGTCCAAGCAAGCGAATAAAATTCCTGGGGAAAAAAAGAATGCGCGGAGGAGTGATGTTCAAATCAGGACGAGGTAAACGAATCTTCTCCCAGTGCACTTAATTTTAACATGGTCAATGATCCGGGGAAGTGAAACACCGTTGAGATGTTAACGAACCGGAACCCTAGGTCAAATCGGTTGCGACACATTTACCTTGTGCAACTCATATGAAACAGGAGGGCTGATAGGATAACTAACAAGGTGCTTAGAGGCAATCAGTATGGTAGGGCTGGATTCGTACTATGAACCTCCAGTCCCGATATCTGTCTACGGAAGAATAAATTCATCATCTTAACCTGACGGTATTTGCAACTGGACGAGGCCGTTCACTGTCGTACAGATGCGTTCTCGCCGAGATCGATCAATGACAATGTTTGCACCACAAGTATTAAGATATGTGAGCAGAGTATCACAAAGTTGGTGAAATACGAAAGACGCTCAGAGTTTAAGTCCGTGAATATCTTCATGGGCAACGACCTCTTAAGAAGAATATGTTCGTCTGATTGTTTCGTTGCTACTCCCGTACATACACAGTAAGTTCAGAAATTTATTTCAAAACGGTAGATGGCCGCATCGAACCCAGAACATTCACACAAAACGACCTCCATATATCTAATCCGAATAGCTGGATGTCCAGCAAACAGTTCACCAAAAGACTTTTTAGTTATACGGTGTTTGGGAATAACGAAAACCTGGGTGTCATCCGATACCAGGTGAGTTTGGCAACTGCCGACGGAATTCTCCCCGGTAAGGAGAGAGGTCGTACATCCAAAGTACGGCGAATGTGTCTGAACGCTCTCGCGATGTTTGTTTTGCCGACGTTCTGCTCATGCGATCAAATTTTCATTTTTCAAACCAGGATCAAACTCGAAAATCGGGAATTGCCTAACATACCTCACCCAAATGTTTGAATCGTTTCATTACACGTCCCGATCGACAATCAATAAGACAGACGCATTCGCCACCACATGTAGCTACCACATTAGACGTTTCATTGGTCGGATCGTCCACACTCGGCTCGAATGCGCACCGCCAAACCTTTGTGTCACAGTCCAGCGGATCATTGTCTCGAGCATGACAGCGAATGAAGTGTAGAGGATCATAGTCCACAACCTGGAAAATGGATGGAAATTGAATGTCACGTGGAAATCTTTCCGATTAAGTGGAGATAACCTGACAGAAAGCAAGTGAACTCACCGAGCCAAGCTGTGTCAAACTCTTGATGTCTTTCTTGGGTTCTTGTGCAGCCCGTTCAGGAGGTTCATGCGTAAATGAAGCGATAGCCGCTCGTTTAGGTTCAGAAGATGGTTTTGGTGACAGTGCCTTAGACGCACGTTTCCTGCCAGCAGCAGGCGAATAGGGATTGAAATCGGCATCTTCCACATCTTCCCGAGATGGCGTGGGTAAAGTGCGGCGTCTACGTTTCCTCGTGTCATCAGGTACTTCCACTTGTGTGGGAGCCTGTTGCTTAGCTGGTGACGGTTTGTCAGCCACAATCCACCCACCTGTGTCGGCACCGATCACTACGACAGAAGCGTTTTCTTTCTCTTTGGCCACTGCGGCCTCAGCTATCGCAGTATCCTGCTCTGAGAGTACAACAGCTGACTCCAATATTTCTCTGGCGGCATTTGCCTCTTGTTCTTCTTCTACGGCGAGAGCAGCTGCTATTAGAGCGTCTTCGTCACCAGCGAGTGCGGCGGCAGTGTCTATCACACCGTAGACACTAAATCGCTTCAAACGATTAGTGTCCCGCGTAGACATACGCATAGTTGATGGGGGAGGTGCGTGTGGAGGAGGAATGCGCACGTTTTCCAGCAGGAAAGAAGTTTCTTTAGCAGCTATCTCCGCTGCAGCTTGCCTGCAAGACATACAGAAAGGAAGCAATATTGTTATACACCAATCCAACCAGGTGTTAGACATTATGAGGCGCGAAACAATAGCAGCATTGCCAATTCAGTCATCAGCTCGCCTTCCGCAAGGCAGTTCGTTAACCCGAACTGAGTTGCGTTGGGTCATGAGAGAGGACCTTTGGTTTATTTGCTCTGGGGAGAATTCACTATATAGCAATTTGTGAGCGGCGATGAGCAGTGTGTTCAAGTTTCACTGATCTATGAGCAGCGTTCAGGCTCAAGGCTATAGCACAAGGAAGTACTCTGGCATACAGCCAGTTATCAGCTATAAACCACCTAAAAGACATCGTTGCTGACTGAAGAATCAAAGAAAGCTTGTACAACACTATATAAATGACTTCCTCTTTGGTTACCAAAGATGAAGGAGCATGCGTTCCCACAGGAAGGATTCAATCCCCGAATGCGAGGAATTTCGTGTTTCTGATTACAAGCTTTGGTGGTACTCTCACTGTTGCAGGCATATCCGAACACATCACCTGAACAAATGGGACAGCAATTCGAACATCTTTGTAAAGCATAACGGCGGTTAGATGATGGTAGGGTCAAGTATCTTGCACGAGGTTGTACATACTATGCATACTATTCTCTCGTAAGAGAAATGTGAAAGGGTTGGAGACACTGTACGTATCAAAGTCCGCACGTTGTTCTGTTTGTTTAGATGAAACGAACTCATTCAATATCCATTCATTTTTAGGATGGTTTCACCAGGTTATCCACAGGAGTACCGAGAAACCGGCTGACCACAACACACCAATCTCGATAGTGAAGGACAGTTGTTTAATGCAATCATAAAATAAAAAAGGCGAACAGCCACCATGTTGTGTTCGTTCTGTGAGCCGAATTCACTGATGCCAAGTTCAGTGTAAATGGGTGGCTTGCAAATGAACTTGAGTAGGAGAGGTAAGTGGTGCTCACCCGTCCATAAAAGTAATACTCCCCAAGGTCAAGATTAAAAACTACATATTACCGAATAAGGCTTCCCGATAAACAAAGATTGGCCATCAAATATAGAAATAAATTATGCGAGCATATTTCTGAACCCTAGTAGAGTTTGCATTTGCTCGGAAACCGACCATACTTCTGTCTACAAATCACAACTGAAGGTAGTCAAACACACAAATAAAGGCGAACGTACTTCTTGGCAACTGACTGCGAACCCGGCGGACGTCCGCGACGTGGTGTTGAAACAGGGCTGCGTTTAGGAGTAGCAGCTGTGGGAGAAGCAGAAGGGGTAGTAGGCACCCGCGCTGGAACAGGAGTGCAAGCGGCGACGGTGGGCGCACGGGCAGGAGCAGTAGGAACATGAGTGGGGGCAACAGGGGCAGGGGCAGCGGTGGAAACATCGGAAGTGGAGAAGGCAGAGGGAGGAGCAGTCGATACCGGAACAGTGGGAACAGCAGAAACGCCAGCAAGCTTCGTTTGTGCTAGGATGTTGGGCACCACATATGCTGGTTGGGATTCCGATTGTGACGGACGAATGATGTAGTCAGATGGCAACAGACGTCTCTGTTGGACCGTATATACAGGCCCCACTGATGACACGGCCGCTGTTGGTGGGAGAGACTTGGTCACAGAAGGTTTCGCCTTGTTTGTGGAGGTCTTTGGGGTTTTTTGTGCAGGTGGCTTTGACACAGGTGTCTTAACTACAGGCGGCTTTGGGGGTGGCGGGGGTTTAGGCAAAGGCTTGGTGGGAGTTCTCGGGAGAATTTTCGGTATGTTCCGACCAGGTTTCTTAGCTTCGGCAGTAGGTCGCGTCAGTAGACCAGGTCGCCTAGTGTGTAACGAAGTGTCCTGAGTAGCAACTGGCGAGCTTTGCTGCGATAAGTCAGTCTTTGGCTGTGTTTTCTTCCGTGCAAGTGCTTGTTTACGTTGTGCTGCCAACTTTACCGACTTTGGTGCGGGCTTGTGACGTGGTATTGACGTCGGTTGGGCGACTGGAGCAGCTTCATCAACAGACGCAGCAACGGGACTAGGTTCGTCACTGAACATTTCGTCTATAGGAAAGGAAGTGTGCATAAAGAATGTACTATGTTAATCTAACTTACACAACTTATTTGTGCTCTATGGAACCAAAGATTTATCGAAAACCGTAGAGCACCGAAAAAAAAGTTTCACAGAGAAAGAAAACATCAGTTGGTATCTTTGAGAAACCACAATTTTGTTTCGAGCTATGGAGAATTTAGTTAAACTTGCTCAAATCCTTTGTTTTGGCGCACTACAATTTTAATACTAATGTTGTTCGTTCACTGCCGCTACCCAAGGGGCTTACTTTGCATTGCTCCGAGCGATTTCTCTAAAAACAGCTCAAATTTCATGTATGCGCTACGGTATTCGTCTATTTTTCCACGACAATGGTGGGCTTCTGATCCGTGAATGTGATAAGAATCTTTTTACTGAATTTTCCACACGTAATTTTTGGTGCTCACTCCTCTATTCGGGAACCGCAAGTGTTGTGATACGCCTTGCATTCAATACAAAATATACGAAACCCTCTGATAACATATTATGATCGTTCCGAAATCGACTTTGGGAGTCCCCAAGAGACCTGGTGGAATGAGCCTAAGACGTACTTAAGGACACCTTGGAAACGAGTCACCGTTTCGAAGATAATGAATTAATTATGAGTTACTTACACTGTTTAAATAGTTAAAGAAACAAAAAAATATTCGCCACTGAGTGCTAGGGTTGCGATTGCTTGGCCCGATGGTTCGGACGATCGAACACCTGTCCTGGTTGGATCGATGGGCCCGGCTGTTAGGGCTTCCCAGTAGCGCCACAGACGGTTGAAACCCGCTGGATTAGTTTAAGGTGGTTGCGGGGTTTGTCGGATTCACGCCCACATCACTCTGGTTTGAACAGCAGTCCTCAGGTCCTGGCGCAATCATTCTGGTGAGCACATAGCAACGGGCTAGACACTGGACTCGATTTCCGCTCTTATTAGAGCTCATTAGACTCATATCAATGTTCTGGGACGGGGACAAGCGCACTTGTGACTGGCACTGAGTAAATATTGAACGTTCTGCTGGATTTGCTAGGCTATCGCTCTGCATCGCCGTGCACCTGCGTCGGAAATCGGTCTGTTCGTTGAGTACAGTTCAGTTCACTTCGGTCTATCAGTTGTAAAACATGTGTCAAGAGTACGTTCGTTCCAACTGCTACGGTTTCAGTCACCAAAAAATGAGGACATGGAAAACGGACATGGGGAGGTGATAGATGCGACCGCAAAATCAGTCCGTAAAGCACACTGAAGCTAAGTGATTTTCCCGCTCATATGTTGGATAAAAACAAGTATACGTTTGAATATTGGCTGTTCACATCAGTTCTGAGGGCGCTTTTCGGCTCCGATCATTGGTTGATTATAAGCCTATACGAAAATTTTGAGTAAGAATTTGCGTTTAGCAATTTAGGATCGAAGGGTTACTGTATACGGTTAAAAGGTTTTAAGTTTCATGCATTATAAATATAATTTCATCACTTTGATTTCGGCTATCGTACATCAAGGTAATTTGGAATTAACGGTCCCAACTTGTATTGTTTAGTAACCTTAAGAATTTCCCCATCATAGCACAGCACTGTCCACAGGTAAACAACTGGAATATGCAGTCAGATGAGGTCGTAAAAGTAGCAATATCGGAAATGCTATAGTTTCAGAGAAATTACTTCTAGTTTACCTCGATGGATCGAGGCCATATGGACTGAAAATGATCTACAGAGTAGGATGTCTTGCCCGATACCAAAACCTCAAAAAAGGGTACATAAAGATGTGTGGGAACCATTGTGGCATAAGCCTTATAGTAATGACATCCAAAGATCCCTCTGGTTCAATCATTCGCTGGTTGACTGAACGCAAATAGAGATGGATTCATAAAAGTCAAGCAAGGTTCCATACTGCAAGAGGGTTATAGATCACAATAGTTGATCTGGAAGGTTCTAAAACTTTTCTTTGGGAAATTTAATATTGGGTCACTTTTATCCAACACGTGCCTTGGACTTAAGAAGCGGATCTGATTGGCCCACCACACGACTGGTTACGTTCCACTGTTTTATTGCTATATATTATCGGAATTGGTTTTCAAGATTGCAGCTGAAGACATACTGAAGCCTTTGTTTTCGTGCTGTATTATTCAGATTCGGGAATAGTGATAATGATTTCATAAACCAACAGTGATGGCCTTCTCAAAGTTGAAAACTACATTTGAACCCTTGAGGAGACAACGTACCTGGAACTTCCTCGATAATCCATGATCGATTCTCTTTCTGGGGCTCACCGGGAAGGCGGTCCCGAATCTCCGTCAAGCTTATGTCCTACCCGAATACCATAGACGAAATTCAGCATGAATTCAATTGAGTCCTCCGTTCTAACCGAATCAGTTTGCGCGTGTGTTTGCGTTCAAGCATAACATAAGGTTGTTGGAAGTCGGACACTGCGCCTAACTCATGAGACCCAAGAAGGGCGAAACCGGTCGTGGGCCGCCGAACAGTTTTCAGAAGCTTCTTACAAGTTATGTGTTCTGTCAAAAACTACGCTGTGATATGTCGAACTCAACTGAAACCATAAGAAAATTCAGCTAAATAATGTCACAAACGAGACATCTAACTTGGATTCAGCTGAGTCTCCCGTCATAAAGGGTTTGCGCTAGGCTGTGGGTTTCAGAATGACCAACAACTACGCTTGGGCTCACCTTCATATTGTGTCTGAATGACGGTGCTACTCAATTCAGGTGTGGGTTCTGGCACAGACGATAAAGTCGGGAAAGTAGATGTGACCGGAGGCATTGTGCTACTGGTAATACCGAGACCGCCTCCGACGGGGATGAGTTCGCCATCTGGCTGACGTGCTGCTGTCCTAATGACTGCGTAAACAACCGTCTTTCCATGACGTAAAGCTTGTCCGACTACATTGATCAGACGGTCTGGAGGTTCATCAGGTAATAGGGTTAGGTTGGCAGCCGCTGCTTCGGCTTCGCGTTCGGCAACGGATGCTTCGGTGAACTCTGAATTAACCTTTTTGGACCTTCGAGAAGGAATAGCCTTCGTTTTCACAAGGGAGCTGGAAGAGTCCCTCTCATCCAGCGCCATGGTTTCGCTTTCCAAAGCACTGCTCTCTTCTAGTGTAGCTCCACGAGTGGATTCCTGTTCGTCAACGTCAACTTCGCTGTCACTGTCTCGAATTTCTTCTTCATCACTCATCTCACTAATGCGCTGCAGGCGCTCCGTGGCTTCGTCCTCCACATCATCGTCCAACATTTTAGGAGACAGAAAGTCCTCAGCAACACGCCTTGCCTGTAAAGAGAAGTACAGAAAAATCATCATGGACCCTATACACAACTTCCACGAAGCAACAATTCTTGTGTGAAACTATATACTGTGTAGTAAGTAGTATTAAAGAGCGAACACGGAAAATCCTACTGTAAGAGCAGGAACACTGCAAAAGATTCACACTAGCGGCTAGCCAGAATATTCGCGCCCCGAAAGGATGACTGTCTGGAGGAGAGCGGCATATGTACAGAGAGCATGCAAAGCCGATAGCGCCACTTACCAAAATGCTCTTGCAATGAGCAAAGGGGTTGCCAACGTCCACGCTGCGCTTGACAGCGTGTAGTACGAGAGTTTCAATTACTCGGATCGTGTCGCGTTTAGGAAGGCCCTTCTTATAAAAACCGGCAATGTCATCTTCCCATTTTGAATAGATCTGAAAGAGGGAACGAAGACAACACCAAAGATAAACTATTCGTGATTCACGAGCACCTCTTTTAGGGCAAGCACCATCATCATCATCATCATCGACAGCATGATGTCAGTGTTCAACACCGATGCTTCATTGCCGTACAACCATGACCTATTTGGAAGCCTTATTGTGAAGGTGAACGGGGAAGAGACTTAGTGCTAGCTCCACTACCAGGTGCCTACACCACCGAACACTCATCCAGGTACTAACTACCCTAGTCTTGTATTGATTGCACCGTAAGACTACTTCCCATTCAGAACGCTGAAGGGGCTTTGTTCATTCAAGGACCGAGTGAGATGAGCCGAACTCCAAAGAGGTAGGATGAACAACGCAGTGTTCCAACCAAGTAAGTACCGTCTCTACTAATAACGTTGGAAGAAGTAACTTGATAGGATACAGGAAAGATGAAAAATAGACTGAGCCATAGAACAACCGATGTAATGGAAGGCGATTGTCACTGTTGTTCTGATAGACGTTTTCCCTGTTTTTTTTCTTCAGATAAAATGGACTTTTTTCGCTGCGACTCAAAACAAAGCGTACCTACATGTTTCGTGTAATTCAAAAAGCTTCTTAAGGCTTGGGACTTACCAAAGTGGACAGTTGATGCTTGACTGTTTGAATTGCCTTAATCGTCTCTTCGGTAGGTTCTTCCGTAAATTCCTCGCCATTAATAGTTTTCAAGTAGGGACACAAGCAAGCCAGAGCTTGACGAGAGAGGACCTAGAATGGCGATGAGAAATTAATCAATCCCACAGGTTCGAAACTTATGACTATAAAGTGAAGTCCTTCATTTCAGAAAACAAGTCACCAGCGTCATGTCGTGGCATCATCATCATCATCATCGACAGCATGACATCAGTGTTCAACACCGATGCTTCACTGCCGTACAACCATGACTTATTTGAAAGCCTTATTGTA